CTGGAGAGGATCGCTGGAGAAGAACGTAGGAGATGATCGCTGGAGGTACATAGAAGATGACACGGGAGATAAAGGTCCTACAAGTTTCACACACTTTGGTAAAACGAGACTAGACGATGAGGGAACACAAGGTGAGTAGTTTCATGGTGAAGTTAATGAGGGAGATCGCTGACAGATGCAGGTGATTGTGAAGGAGGTGCAGGTGAGGGCCAATGAGGATGCAGGTAAATGTAGCGAAGGAGGTGGTGACTGTGACAGCAGTGTTGTGTTCAAATAAAGCAAAGTCCCCGGGAATTGATAGCCTTTAGATTTATACTTGGCGCTGTGGGATCTACTAGACCACAATTGGTTACACACTATAAATCATATTCAAGGGCTGTTTTCTCAAAGACCTCAATACAGCTCTCATTACGGTTTTACCTAAACCCAGCAAAGATCATTCGGACTGTTCTAATTACAGGCCCATCTCCTTGATTAACGACGATGTAAAAATGTATGCTGAAGTTATTGACAGACGTCTACAGTCAGTGATACATAAATTAATTGACCCAGATCAATCGGGATTTATTACGGGACGTTTAGCTTTAGATAATGTCCGTCGAGTGTTACATATCATTGCTGAATCCGGGAAATTAGAAACACCCAGCAGCCTCCTATTTATTGATGCTGAAAAAGCCTTTGATCGGCTGGAATGGAGCTATTTATGGTATACGTTGAAAAAGTTCAATTTTGGTGACCAGTTTATTAGAATGATACAAAATCTATACACTAATCCCATGGCCAGGGTATGTACTGGTAGATTCATCTCTGACACTTTCGATATTTGCAGAGGCAGGAGACAGTGCTTGCTTTCCTGGTGCCTGCTTTCCACTCTCATGTTCGACTTATCAATAGAACCTCTGGCTCAGTACGTTAGACAGTGTAAACTTATTACCCCGATTTCTTCATCAATCCATTCTATCTATATATACTGTATGCAGTTGATACTTTATTATTTTTATCTGATCTACAACGCTCTCTTCCTAATGCCCTCCAAATCATAGATGAATTTGGCACACTATCTGGATTTAAAATGAATCTTTTTAAATCTATTTTGATGCCTCTCAATTCAGATGGTTTAAAATTCTCTATTCCAAGTATTGTTCAGATATAAACACAAGTCAAATACTTAGGGATTGAGCTGAGGTCCACTTTAGCCCTCATTTCAAAAGTTAATTTATGGAAAAGTTAAAGGTGGGTTTGTCTGCCTTCGTTACCATCTGCCCAAATGTCACCAACAAAAATTTATATTCCGCCCTGCATCCATTTTATTAGCTCTATGCTTCCTCTCCCCCCAGCAGTAAATTATTGGAAAAGCTAGATTCTTTACTGATAAAATATATTTGGAATGGAAAGCATCCCCGCATTAAGTGGTCTACACTTCAAAGAAGTCAAATAAAAGGTGGATTGGGCTGCCCTAATTTTAAATGGTACCATTGGTCCTTTATCCTGCTCTCAGTCATGAAATGGTTTGATCCTTGTTCACAGTCTTCATGGAAACAAATAGAAAACGAGAACATTTCAACAATTCGTTTGCAAGATTTTTTTATTTTCAGGCCTTTCAGACAGGAAGTGCTCATTATATTATGGTCCTATACTTTTTCTACACTCTCCAAATATTTAAAAAGATAGGAGCCTGTAATTTGAACTTACTTTCTGATCGGCAACCTTTTATGTAGCCATCCTGGGCTATAACAGGTATTGCAATGTAAAATTACATAAAAGGAGAGGAATCAATCCTGGGTTTTCGAGACTTAATTGAAAGATTCAATATTTCTCATAACATTTTATTTTTTATATTTTAAATTGTGTGCTGTGTTAAATGCCCATAAGGTATCTTGGGGCACAAATCTCCCTCGGTGGTGAATTGGATTTCCAATGCAACAAGCACAAGAACTGTTTCTTATTTTTATCTTTGCTTTTTTATATATATATATAATTATGTTTATTGAATTTTCTTAAAATACAAATATAACAAGACATCAACCAAAAAAAACAAAAAAAAAAACAGGATAGCTCAGATTTATATATAAAATGTTTTATATATAAAACAGGACCATACCATAATAAGGCAGATATACAAAAAGGAAAAAACAACAACACTTATATAACGTATAAAATAACATTTCCAAAAGATGAAGCGAATGACACAAAAAAAAAAAGAAAAAAAAAAAAGGTTAAATGTCCAGAAAGTTACAGTTACAATGTTCCTTGTAAAATAATAGGGCGAAGACAAGGTTCCAAAGCGTCCAGATATGGGGTCCAGACTTTGTGAAACTGGCCTGTTTTCCCATGTAATACATAGGTAAGGCGCTCCAGGGGAATCAACTCAAAAATGATCTTGTTCCATCCTTTAAGCAAAGGGATGGAGATTTATCACTGATCCAATTAAGTAAAATATTTTTCCTGGCAGCAAAGGATAGAATATTATACAATTTCTTATTAGCAGATGAAGTAATGCATCTATTAGGTATATCCAACAAAAGTGAGACTGGGTCAAAATCTAATTGAATATTAAATATCCTTTCCATCTCCCCTAGCACCAGAGACCAATACCATTGCAGTCTGCTACATGACTATCTTTGCTTTTTAAATCTTAATACAGATAATTTCCCTAAAGCTAGAGCTTGGTTATTGGATTTGAATACTTCTAACAGAATCATCGAATGGGATCCAGTGTGGGATAATTCATTACATGCATCCACGAACCCTAACCACCAATTCATCCATTTTAAAGTTATTCAAAGGGCATATCTAACCACACGTGAACGATATGCTATGGGTCCATCACCCCATTCGTAGTTGTAATTTTTGTGGACCTGGATGCGTGGACACTTTGATACATATGCTTTGTGACTTTCCAGATGTGCAATAATTGTGGAATATGGTGCTTAATGTTTTGTAAAAGGCTTCTACTATTCGATTTCCCAAAGATCCTGCCATTTTATTGTGGAATGACAATTCTCAATTTCCTCTAAGTAAGAAGGTACAGGAATTTTGGCTAGCTGCCATGACTGCTGCAAAGAAGCTACTTGTTCAACGCTGGAAACCTCCTCATGACCTTTCTACAAAGCATTGGCAACACTCTTTTTTTTGGAGATATTATATCTGGAACTGTCGTCTGCGCGGACTAATGACGCTAAACCTGTGACCTTGTCTATGTGGAAAAATTGGGTATTTACAGTCAAGGAAATTTTGGATATTTAATCTGCAGCTACTGCTTAGGTTGTTGTTATTATTGTTACTATTTTATTTGTTTTTCTCTGTATTCATTTTATTTTATCCCATTTTATTTATGTATCTGTCCAAGTCCTGTAGTGCAATGGGGTGGGTGAGGGAAGGGAGGTTATGGGGGTAATAGTGGTCGAATAAGTTTTCTTTCTTTACTGCAAAATGTTCTGTATGCTTTCTCAAAAAAAAAAAACTAAAAGAAAGTAATTTCCCATACCCCGGAGATTAACATTTCTTAGAATTTATAAACAATTAACACTGAGTGTTCGCAGGTTAATTGATCATAATATTAATTCTGATACATTAAGTTAATTCTATTAGCTGATCAAAATATGTATAATTAATTATAATGAGTTATAATTAATAATTCATATTTCCCTTGAGCTAATTTGCTACTCTAAAGTATTTAAGTAAAACATTTATTTGTATAGTGCTTTCATAATACATATGGTTTCAAAGCAGCTTTATGGAAAATGCATGTTTCAATGTTACAATGTCTTTGGGTTCAAATAAATAGGGAATCTAGCATTACATTTCCTTTAATCTCTTTAACCCCACATAAGCAGCCATTCATTGGGGTATTGCATGAGGCACAAGTCATTTATAATGTAGGTTTTTCTATTTATTTATAATTATGCAGGGAAAAGTGTCACAGGCTTCTCTTGTTGCAGCAACTTTTCTTTATTTATTAATGATTCTTTTCACCAGTTTCCCAGCTAGTGAAGGTTTTATTCTCTTGAACACATATGATGGAAAGGGTGCTTTATTAGCATATGTGATATTCCAAATTTTAAGTTTAATTCGCCACTTTGGATGGAAACGTGTCAAGCTTGTGTAAAGAAAAAAAAAACTCCACTGGTGGAGAGGTATTGGAGAAAAATGTTAAATGGAACCTGACTCATGATATGACAATAATATACAGCTCTTAGAAAATACAAGTCATGTATTTAGTTAAACAGAAAGAATGGTGCTCACCTTCAGTGTATTAAGGTGATGATTTCAGCTTGTGAATTGTGATGATTATGATATAATTTGCCAGTCTTGTAAGTCATCCATATTTGACGTCATCAAGTTTTCGCAAGTAAGGCGGAACCCAAAATGGAACTTGTGCAGTCTCTATTAACCCCACTAAAGAGGTTCTCAGACCATCCTCAGACTATGCCAGAATTTAGGAGCCAAATGCAAATAAGCTCTACCTTCTTGAGTGGACTTTGATATTGTATTGTAGTGTGATGGAAGATTGGTTAAATTCAAATGAGCTAAGCCATTTAATTTAACAGTTAGCCAGTCTAGAGTCTCGAGCTTGTTTATGGAGGATTCAGGGCCGCCAGCTTGTAGTGCATTACAATAATCTAGTCTTGAGGTCAAAAATGCATGAACTAGCTTTTCTGCATCAAAAACAGATAACACTTTCCATAGTTTGGCATAAGGTGGAAGAAGAAGTTTTGGTAAAATGGAAAGAATTATTTTCAAAAAACAATTTGCTGCCTAATGTAACACCTAGATATTTAATTATAGAAGATGAAGTAACATAACATCCTTCTACTATGCAGGGTTTTGGTCCAATGAATAATATATGCCTAGTTTTTTTCATAGTTGTCCTGTAATGCAAATTAATGCAAAGTTGTCATATCACAGGTTTTGAATTAGCACCTTGCTAGAAAGTGATGTCAAGTTGATCACCCAGAATAAACCTGTTTAAAACCATGTTTTAAATCTGTCTTATTCAGAAGTCTGGTCGAGGGAAGGTTCAAGGGGAGGTGATGCCCACTCTGGACATGACGCTCTTTGACTGGACTGATTATGAGGATATGAAGCCTGCAGACACTTGGCCATCCAACAAAAGAAAAGGTATGAAAGCACATTCTCAAGGTCTAAACAATAACAGTTATTTTATTGTCCATCAGATTTGTTTCCAGCAGTAGTTTTTGTTTTAATTCTTGGAGTGTTAAGACCAAGATATATTCAACGATCAGGATAAATATTTGATTATAAGATTGGTTGAAGTTCTCCCAGATATTTAAACCTCTGTGCCTAAATAATTAGCAAATTCACAGCTGTTTCTGAATAAAGGATTTCATAGGAGGCCTGTGTCTGTCTATTTCCATCTATAAAGATAAACGCCGCAGCAAAAACAAGAGCAATGGGAACACAACGCTTGATTCCGAAGTCATTGAACCATGTGACCATCATCTTGACTGCCTTCCAGGTCAGTGCACCCCTATAATTGTTTAATATTACCATTATCAAAGACAGTGCTTCTCAAACCAGTTCTGAGGACGACCCCACCCTCCACTGCACATTTGAATGTCTTTGACGTCAGACACACCCAATTTAAGTCTCGCAGTCTCTACTGATGAGCTGGTGAGTTGAATAAGATGTTAGATGAGGGAGATATCCAAAATGTTCCATGGTGGGGGGTCCTCAAAATTGGTTTGACAAGCACTGATCAAAGGAAAAGCTCACTCAAACATGACAAATGCCATTATTTACTTGTCATCATGTTGTTACAAACCAGTGTTTACCCCCCCCCCCCTGTGGAACACAAAAGGTAGTCTTTTTTTTCAGAGGTGTAAAGTGTACCTGAAAACCATACTTGAGTCAAAGTACAGATACCTTACAGCGAAAATGATTCCATTATAAGTTACAAGTCACGAATTCCAATGCGACTTAAAAGTCAGAGTATCTGATTTTAACAATACTTAAGTATTTTACTCATTCGTCAAAGCCTACCGGATGCACTGGTTTCTGCCTCATCCCCAGCTGCAGCCATGTCCTCATCTCATATATGAAACTCCTGTGATTCAGCAACTACCTGCTTATGCTTTCGCGTAAAGTAGCCTTGTTGACAAGTTTGGGTGAGTAAAGGCAAAATGCAAACGATATAGTACCTGCCCTGTAGATGGCGATATCACTTCTTTTGTAGCAGAAATAAACTGCTGTAGAAATATTTTTATGCAATGTTTCCCTCTTATGTCATACTTGATAATGTCATACATACATAATTGATATCTGGCTACAGTACACACATACATACACACACACACACACATATATATATATATATATATTTATTTTGCTTGGGCGAGCAAATTAAGTATGGCTTTTCTAGCACATGAGATGTGCATGAATGTGGAGTGAAATATATAGAATCTGCTGCTTGTTAGCTTGCTTATTTTGCTCATGAGCATTATATATTTAAGGCCACATGTTATGAAACTATGCTATTAAACACAGGTTATGAGTTGTAGTTTTAATCACACAACTTTGCAATGTTGTTCGCAAATGTTCGTTGAACTATGGTTTTGGGATACGCCAAATTTATGAACAAAAGACTATAATGACCCTCTGTTAAAAAGTTTGTTTTCCTCAAAAATTCACCTTCTGTGTTCCACAGTATCATTTAAAATTATATGAGGGTGAGTAGATTACACAATTTTTATATTTGCAGCAAATTATTTAAGTAATATGATATTCATTAGCAAAACATTAGAAAATACTTGCCAGTGTTTACTTTTGTGGTTTATCTCATTGTGCTACAATCAGGTTCTTGTTGTGACCTCAGAGAACATGAGTGCAAACCTCACAACCATGGTCTAAACAACAAGTGTTATGATGACTGCATGTGTGAGGAAGGTGGGTATGACTTTTCTGGTTTTCTTAGAGGCAAAATTAACATTCTAGAGAGATACTAAAAAGTATAAAAAGGGATCTCACAAAACCCATCAGGAATATGTCCAAGTCATATTTCACCAATAAATCAAAACATAGAAATAATAAATTGTAAAATGAACTATTTTATACATTACATTGTCAAGTCAAGTCACTTTTATTCATGTAGCTCTTTAGACAATACAATACAATACAATACTATACAATACTGAACTGAATTCAGTTTAGTTCAACAACTGTGAAAAGTTAATCAATTATGGAATTAGTTAAGTTCATCTATAAAACAGCTCTGTAGAAAACGTCTCGGGTTATGAATATAACTTTGCTTACCTGAGAAGGGGAACGAGATACTGTATCCTAGGACGCTAATGTGAAATGCCTCTGACATGGCCGGTGTCTGAAGCACGTGTCAAAGCACGACAATAACATTGGCCGGCGACAGCCTATTATGTCACTACTAGTGTGACCAGAGTTTAAAAGGGCGCCTGTAGTACACGTCATCCACGTTTTTTCTGAAGGAGACGTGGGCAGACATGCCTGAAGCATGGCAATGAGACGCAGTGTCTCATTACCCTTCTCATGGAACCAAGGTTACATTCGTAACCCAATACTTTTCCTTTCGAATGGGAACTCACTGCGTCCTAGGACGCTAATTGGAAACAAATACCTACTCCGCCATGCTGAAAGAATGAGTGCCATATGGCTGACATTAGTCAATGACTTCAATGGCACTGATCCGGAGTCACAGTTCCCTGTCATAGGGGTACGCACCTGCAGTCGTTGTGACTCTATTCCCCAAGGCCAGAAACCCTGACTACATTGGGCAGCTTAGCTCAGGGCCTGGTATTCAAAGAATACCATAAGCGAAATATGACCAAGGATATAAAATATATCCTGCCTGTCACCACAAGGAACACACCCCTGATGAGTGGAGGTGTCACAAGAGGAGACCTAGCAACCCTTAGGGGAAAAGAAGGAAGGAGGCAGATGTTGGCCCCTGCATCCTGAGGATGCTGGGTGTGTTTGCTCTGGATTACTTCCCTCAAATCCTGTTTTCTTTTTTCTTACATCTTGCCTTCTCTGCATTTTACTCCTGTGAGGTGGAGGAGCACAATTGGCGACGCTTACCTCAGACCTCAGACAAAGACAGGCCAGGCCTCTTTAGAAGCTTGGGGCGTGGACCTGGACCGGCGTGGTATAGAGGTCTTGTATATAGGTGTTATATATAGATATATTGGCCTCTTTGAAATTCCTGACCACCGCCTCAACAGATGTGTCGAAGAGCTCAGAGGGCGAAACTGCCTCATCAAGGAGAAAGTTTCTCTTTTTCTCCTCAATGTCTGCCAGGTTCGCCCAGAGAAGCCTCTCCATGGTGTTGTGATTTCTACTCAAGTCACAGATGACATAGTGATTTTTAAGTCCAGCAGTAGAGACATCTTCCACTGGTAATGCGGGTAGCGTGCAGTGGGAAGGGCGCAGATTTGTGATCCAGTACTCGTTGCCATGCTGGGCTGGAGGATGCTGAACTTCAGTTGTGCCAAGAGGGACCTTAAAGAGTGGACTGGGCAGCTGGGTCAGTTGAATTTTCACAGGGTCCTTTGCAGGCTGGCTGCACCACTGAGGTGTAGGGCTGGGTACCGAGTTCGGTACTTTTTAGGTACCGACCGAATTGCCTCGATACTACCGAGTATCGAAACATGTCTTGTTTTTCGGTACCACATTTCGGTACCTAAGTGGTTAATCTCGTCAACGTCAGTGAAACAATAAGCATGCAGCATGATTGGCTGTGGCAGAAAAACACTAGTTTACGCGGCTGCCCAGAGACGCGGCTCGTCGCACGTGAGGCTGCAGTGTGTGTGTGTGTGTGTGTGTGTAAGCGTGCGTCCCAACCCAGATAGATAGAAAATATGTGGAAATGATCCAAAGTGTACCTATGTCATGTGCCAGACTCGATGCCAGATGCACGCGATGCAATATTTTCGACAAGATCATTGCTGTCAAGACCGGCAACACGGTAAATCTAGGCACTGAAGCGCACAAAATACACTTGAGAGTAATGGTGTTCACATCGAACGCGAATAGAGCGTCAAATACGCGTCTATCGCGTCTAGTTCGACGCTTGAATCTTCAGCTCGAGTTCAAATTTTTCAACTTGCGCGGAAGACGTTCGCGGCAAACGCGTCGCCCAAATCGCGTCATTCGCGACGCCCGGCGCGAATGATGCGTCTATTCGCGTCTTTGCATTGACTATGTATGTAATCTACTCGCACAAATAATTAAATTCGCGTTCGGTGTGAACACACCATTAGTAAACACTTGTTCATTAATAAACAATTAAAACCTAAACAATCTCCTTGCTATTGTTTCCACATCCATAATCATTAGGCTACTTTTGCCAGTGCTTTGCTGCAAGCTTCACGTGCAGGTATATATCCCGCCCCCCAGTAGCCTATATTTAATTTAATTCACATTTATTTGTTTAGCATTTTTCACAATACATATCGTTTCAAAGCAGCTTTACAGAAAATGCATGTCTAAATTACAATTTAGAGTGATCTGTTATCAGAGGTGACAGTGTAATGCATTTCAATTAATTTTCATTCAGTTTCATCGTTAATTAATGCATTAAGTTAAAGCAGAAACAATGAGCTCATTGAAGTAAAGAATACATGTTGTTAAATGATTAGGAAACATAGAAAACTTTAGCATTGGTGCTTTTTTACATACTCAAAATATGAGTGTAAAAAAGTCAACAAACTGAAAAAAAAATGAGGTAATGTTATATTGTTAAACCTGGTTACATAAAATTGGTATCGAAAAAAGTATCGTTCAGGAACCGGTATCGAAGTCAAGGTATCGGTATCGTTATCGGTATCGGTATCGGTACCGAACATTTTGTTACGATACCCAGCCCTACTGAGGTGTGTGGGAAAGGCAATGTCTGCTGATGCAAAGGTCCTTTGTTGACTGGCCTGCGCTGCTGGAGGAACCATAAGGGTTAGATGAGGTCCCTCAATGCTGGGGCCCTTTTGCAGCTAGAGTGCAGCCGAAAGCTATATAAAAGAAACTCAAGACATGGTGTGTGTGTTAGTGTCTCCTTTCCCATCGAGTTGGAAATGCAGAACAAGGGTGTGTCTACCAAGGGGACATATTTATCCCATTCCCATTATCCCAGGAGGAGATTGAAATCTGGTGCCTTTCCAATCCTGGATTGTGATTGGCCAATGGTGTCTGAAGTAGCCATGGTGTTGCCCACCCTAGTGTGGAACTCATTTGCATATTATAAAGTACAGTGTTAAAACAGTGTCTTATATTTTAAATTGTATATATTTATTTTTTTATATTTTAAATCATTAAAGGCATTGAATGGAACAGATAGAGACCAAACACGTTGGGAAATGGTTAAGTCATCGTCCATGCATTTGGTTATCTGTTAATAGATCTGTCCCGTGAACTGTTGTATTAACAGTCAATAACCATTAACATAAACTGTGCTTTGGATGAAGATAAAGTGGATGTGTTGCTGTTTATATCAATTTGTGGCCTCCAAACATAGGTATGAATGGATTTAGATAGATCTCTGTGGCCTTTCTTTGTTTCAGCCACTGTTGCTGCATCCGAGAGGTCCTGAAATAATTTTTATAGTTCTTGCTTAAACCTTAGGAATGAGTTTGGTGGTTAGAGTCAACCTGTAGTCTAATGAGAAGCCCTCTCCTTGGTAGTGGTGGGTGCAGAAGGTCCCCCTTCCTACCCTGTATGAGGTGTCTGGCAGTTGTCTTAGCATTTTATCTGATGTTGTTAAACATTTGTTTATGCTCATTCACCAAGGATCAAATCACAGTGTGGCACATCTTCATCCACACCTGCAGTTAGAGAGGGGCCCTGCCATAAACTGGTCCCTGGAATGCCACCTTAACTGTTGTTCACCACAGTGGCCACCATTGATGCTATTGATAGGCCAATTGCGGCAGCAGTTTGCTTGGTGGCACGGAGAGAAAGATCTGTGGTGCGGCACAGTTCTGCTATCTCCTCAGAGAGCAACTGACCCTGGTCCTGGTCTTTCAGCAGATAGGCCTGGTAAGCCTGCAACACAACCATTGTTTGCAGGGCCTGACCCGCTGTCACGTATGCTCTGCCATTCAAATGTGATGTCACAGGCAGCAGTTTGGTCGGCAGAGTGGGAGCCTTCAATGTCGATGCCCCAGCGAGAGATAGCTGGCCAGCATCTCTTCAACTGGTGGCATCGATTCATATCCAAGCTCATGCATCCCCTCTCGCATAATTTACATGCTGGAATGGATGAATGCAGTCCGAATATGGTTTCTTTTACAATCTTTCCACCTCAGCGTGCAGATCGGGAAGAAACAAGGCTTACGAGAGCTGGGCGATTATGGACGAATAGATATCGCTCGTCTAACCGGCTGAGAGCAAGCTCGCATTTCTCACGCCGCTATGGTAGATCTAATCTGTCTGTGGCGTGAGACATAGCCTCCACCAACTCGTCGTACGTGGGGCGGGCAGGCTATGAGGATTCAAAAACATCATCGTCCTCAACAGCCACATCCTGCTCTTCTTGGCTTGAAACCAGGAGCGCACTCACTGCCGGATCAGAAGATGTGAGCATAACATATCCTCATCCAGCAGCTCGCCGTCATCAGCTACAGAAGAAGGAGAAAAAGCCATACCTTTCTTGAATTTCTCTGCGAGCTCCATCTGAGAGCCCCATGATCTCAATTTTCTCCTCGCCTCAGCTGCCGCAGGGTTCTTCATAGAAAACCTCTTGTAATACTCACATTCAGCCCCCTTGAGAACTGAGTGAGCATGCTCCTCACCCAAGCAAATCAGGTGTCAGATAGCGCCAGATATCAGGTGATAGATAGGTAGTGATAGTGAAATGTGACCTGGAAATGATTTCTCATGATTAAAAAAAAAACTTCTTGACTTCATTATTCAGTCAAAGAATACATTTATTTGTTAGTAATTTTGGATGAAAAAGTCTGCTAAATGAATAGATCTAAATCTAATGTAAATATAAAATTCTTTAGGTCTGCGTTGTTATGCCAAGTTCCACCGCAAGAGGCGGGTGACCCGAAGACGTGGCCGCTGCGTGGAGCCAGAATCAGCCAACAGCAACCAAGGGGCCTTCATCACCATCTGACATATAAAGAGATGCATCCTCATACCCCATGACTGATAAGGGACTGAGCCTTAAGAATGTGGGCCAAAGTTAAACATCCATCAAAGCCATTAAATGACACTGACAGTAAAAAAAGCAAGAAAAAAATTCTAGATGTAATTCCTCATCTAATGGAGCTCAAATAAAAACAAGGAACTAGGAATTGTTTACATGCGCTGTCATTTATTTTTTAACACCAATATGATATTTTCTCACACACATACATATGCTTATCTCTCAGCATTAAAAAAAGTTGGTTTCCAATCTTTTAATTTAAACCAGACCTGTTCGCAGCACAGCACAAGTTTGCCTAAATTCCATTCAAAAGTATCACTCAATGAACATACAGTACCATACCGGAAACAGAAATTAGTTACTTTTGCTGAAATACATCATACATGGAACAATTTTAACAGTATATGTAATTTTGCGCCTCATGTGATTATTTTTCTGTACAGCACTTTGGTCAACTTTGGTTGTTTAAAAGTGCTTAACAAATAAAGTTGGATTGGGATTGGATTGGTATATTGATTGATTGATATTGTTTACGTTGCTAAGGGTGGTTGCTAAGAGTGTTGCGCAGCGAAACACCAATCTGTTCAATGAAGCGTCATAGCCATGCTTTATCGTATATAAAACACGGCTAATGACCAATAAGCATCATGAACCGGAGCTATCCATTTTTTAAATGTACCTATGCTGTACTAACCTTTCAGGGTTGTGCCCCATTCAGAATTAAATTTAGAATGGCTTATAAGGAGGAATTGAGAAATCAGGATACAGAATTGGAATTTGAGACAGGAAGTAGAATTTCGCCCATATTTTTTTAGAAACACTAGAAGATATTAATAAGGCAATTTTGAAATGCCGCCTATTGAAATTTGTCTGCAATTGGTCATTTCATCAAATGTCATCAAATTAATTTTTTGGACTATGGAATTAATCAAAGCCAACTAATGGACAATTGAATTGTCTGCACGTTTATCACTTATTAACGCAGAGTTCTCAAACTCTGGAGCTAATCAAGGTATTCAGGATTACTATAAACTTCCAAGCAGTTGAGTTGGAGCTAAACTCTGCAGGGCTATGGGTCTCCAGAAACTGAGTTTGAGACCACTTTATTAACATGTGTGTAGTTACAGCTCAATACAGTAGGTTACAGAATTAATAGATTCAAATTTGGCCAGTATTTATTTTTGAATTTTTGTGATGCTGGGTGGCAAAATTAAAATTTGTTTTACAGAAGTGAACGGCCTTAGAAATATGTGCCTCCACCTACAAAACTCCAACATACCTATACATACAATTTACTTTAGTTTCCAGCTGAAATGAACACTAGAAACAGTAAAATAGTTTACAGTAATAAACAGTATTATACATTTCAAAACGCTTTTACCATAGTGTATAATTTAAAAACAAATACATTATGACATCTACATCATATAACCAGCTTCATAGTACAACACAGGTCACAATAAAAAGAGCAAACTAAAATGACATGGTTGCTTCAGCAAATGCATTTTTTAAACACTCTAGGTGACTAGAGTATATAGTGACTCTAGTGTATAATGTAGACCGTAAGTTATTTCATTTTGCAGAAATGCCAACACAGGCACTTACAGTGAGCCTGGGTTGGAGGGGAAACAATGTAATTTAGTTTAGAGAAATATGTCTAATTAGAGAATGTATTATGCACATCAAATATTAAATTAGCATAAGAATATAGTGGAAGAATAGTGATTAAATTGATGATGCTGTAATTTATCTCGTAAAACTTTGAATTTCTTTGATTTGCTATTCAATCAGTTTCTCTTTCTGTCATTCAAAATCCAATTCAATATCCATGACTGTATCCACTTTAATTTCAGAACTTACACTAATGACTTGAAAAGACGCCAATTCTTAAATTATGAATTTTGCCCAAACCCTGCTCTTTGTCAAAAGTTACTTTTTAAGTTTGTACAGATTAATTTGTGTCTGAATGAAAGGCTTTTTCTACTGCTTTCTAATGTGATACTATACTATAAATAACTACTGCTACTCTTGTATTCAAATAAATGTGGATTTGTTTGGTTTATTTATAATGTATACTTTATTTATTCCTATACCAAGCAGCTTTCTTTAGAGATGTTATCGTGGACAGGATATGTGCTATAATGACTGTGTGTTCTGACAGAAAGTTAGAATGTTGAATGAGTGATTGTTAACTATATGGGTTAGAGGGATAGAGATGGACAGAGGGGAGAGATGGATAGGTTGTCATTTTAAATCACTGAGCTTCTTTATGGTCTGAAACACCTCTGCCTCCCATCACTGTCTTGATTTAACTGATTAATAGACATTTATGTTAATGAGGCTTTAGATGCTTTAGTCTTTGTAAAGTCTTATTGGTTATCTTGTTATCATCTTGAGATTTCTCAAGCTCCACAAATTGTCAATTTTTTGTAACTTAAATGTCATAAATAAACTTCACTAAGGACACAAGGATCCTAACAGTATTTTTGTTTCATCACAGATGTTTATTGACAATAGCCGACTGTGATATATTGTATATGTTATTGCAAATATTTAGGTCACCACAGCAATCTGTTCTTACAACCTTTTCTATAAGTTTCCTTACAACCTTTCTATACTGTGTGATTTGAAAGGGTGATTTGCAAAGACAACATCTATGGTTGGAATAGTACACTACAATGCTACTTACTTGCTAATATATGCAGTGTACAAGAGCGCATACTATTCTGGGTACTGTATACCACAATGCAACAATTAATGAATCGGATGTAATATAGGTTATGCATTTTTTTTTTCTTGACTCATTAGCTATGTTTGAAATAGCATACACTGCCACCAAAACACTCACCGCGTTCTCCCAACTAATAAGGTGCAGAGACCTTTATATCAATACAAAAATGCAAAAAAAGGTCTGCACTCTAAGAATACTTTATTTGTGACAAACAGGAGATAAAGAATATACAAATGTTTCGGCTCTTTTCCTTCGTCAGTGACACTGGATTGGATTACCATTAATTTAACTTTGCTTTGCTGATGTTTGCATGGACATCATAATTGCAACCATTATCAAATATCGTCGGCTTCATCTTCAGCTAGTTTTTACCATTCTCTTTTCTTGTCCAGATTACCAGATTACTTCACATTTCTTGATTATTTTGATGAATTCATTTAATATTTTGTACTTTGTTTATTTTTTTTTGTGCAATGTATATGTTTTTGATGATTGTGTTGTTGAATATAATAGATGTACAATTCACTGCAAATTTTGGGTCTGTTACTTTATGTACATTGTTGGGTAAATCAAAGGACAATTGAAATTAATCTTTTAATAATAACTGAGATACCTAATACCTAAGCTTTAAAGGGATAGTTCACCCAAAAATGAAAATTCTGTCAGTAATTACTCACCCTCATGTTGTTCACCTACCTACATGACGTTGTGATGTGAGTGCACCTAGTGTAACAGCGCAGCGCTTCTGGGTTGTACGTCAACCCAGAAGCGTTGCGCTGTTACACTAGGTGAACTCACGTCAGAGGCCCACACAGAAGAAAATGAATAGTTGAATAAAGTCGTTATTTTAGTTTTTTTGGCGCACAAAAAGTATTTTCGTCACTTGATAAACTTATGGTTGAGCCACTGTAGTCACTTGGACTATTTTAACGATGTCTTTAATAACTTTCTGGGCCGGCAAGTTTCAATTACAATAGAAGCCTATGGAGGAGTGAGACAGCTCTCAGATTTAATAAAAAATATCTTCATTTGTGTTCCGAAGATGAACTAAAGTCTTACGGGGTTGGAACAACATGAGGGTGAGTAATTACTGACAGAATTTTCATTTTTGGGTGAACTAACCCTTTAAGCCTTTCCGTCCTTACTCTGATATATAACTTAAGCCTAAAAACAGGGTAGTGGTTATATAAATGGTGCCCGAACAGGGACCGTGAAGGCTTTGAGGTATTTGTTTGTTATCAAATGGTCCCAATTAAATCATGTCTAGTTCACAGGCTTTTGAAGGGGATGTTCACATAAGTTCTGAGTGTATTTATTTGCCACACCTGACCCTGTTATAGCCATCCAAATGCAAAAATGCTACTTCTACTTCAAACGTTTTGGCGCCCCTTAGCAACCGTGAATCAAAACTTCAACTTTTTTTGATAATTATTGATAATCTCTCAATAATAATATACTAAAGACTTCAGAGAAATTTTCTGCACTAGTTTGGTTCCGATAGGCCGAAAACCCAAGGACTAGTTCCCAAAAGTAGGTTTTTGACAAAATTCATGTACCCGACCCAGACTTCTCAAAAGTATAATTTAGAGCACAGCGAGAGCCACTGAAAGAGCTGCTCAATACCTTCAGTGGCAGATCCTAAACCAACCATAATCAACGAACTTACTGTCTTGATGCTCTGGGGAAAAAAAACGTCAACAGGTGACAGAACAAATATCTGTAAGGGATTGTGAGGCACTGTGTAAATCCGTTGAAGAGAAAGTGTCATATCATATTGATCATGAATGTGGAAGAGTAAAAATAAATATATATATATATATATATATATATATATATATATATATATATATATAGAGAGAGAGAGAGAGAGAGAGAGAGAGAGATTAACAAGAAAGATTTTGCATAGGAATGAGCCAAGGTATTTTAAAGATTATTTTAAGTTTATTAGGAACTCTCATAGCTACTCAACTAGAAGCAGTGCCACAGACATAGTACCTTGTAGATTTAAGAGTTGTTCTGGGCAAAACACCTTTTTGTACATGGCAGCAATTGAATGGAACAAACTCCCAGTTGAGATTAAGTTAAGCCAGTCAGATCGCTGCTTTAAGCAAGCATGTGGTGAATGGTTGCTAAAAGCTAATCAGATTTAGTTTTTATGTAGTCTTAAGGAATATTTATTACGGATGTGTATGTATTTGTGTGTTTGAGTGTACAAGGTGCTCTATTGTCATCTGTGGCTTGCTTGCCATCTTTATCGGACTACAACGAGGACCACAATGGAAATAAGTTTTGTAACTTTCTTGTGTTATCCTCGACAG